TCCTTCTTATTCACCAACCAAATCATTAAAACCAAACACACTCCATCAAGGGTCTTCTCTGAAGCTGTAGGACTGGGGTCAAGTACACGTGTGTGTTACACAATACCCTGAAGTGTGCTGCTGACAACACGGAGGAGTTAGCACAACAAATAAACACACTCAGTGCACTCAATCGAACCCAGCCAGGGACTGTTGGTTAGTTTCACGTGACAATATTAAAAAGAACTTGGAATCCGGGCACTGATTGGTGGGAGAGGGGAATGAGGTCTGATCACATCTAAACAGCGAGGGGACCATCCACCCTGTTCCTGCCAAATCCAACGGTCAAAGCCCAAACACTCTCCAGCTCCTTCCAGCAGACTGTGACACAACACGGCTGCTTGGCATTTTTCTTTCATTTGCTGTGTCAAAGAAAAAGCAGCTCTCACCAAGCTAGCAACAAGCTCATGAAGCTTAAGTCTCCTCTGTCCATGCAGCCTGAAAGATGTACCTGGAAAAAAGCTTCCCGCTAGTTCCCCTGCTCCATTCTGGAGCTGGAGAAAGAGAATGATGGAGGGTCCCTGTTAGCAGGTCAGAAGGGAAATACAGGCTGAACTGAGAGACTCGCTCAGGAGTCACTCGGAAGTGAACCTGAGAAGCCTCATTTCCAAACAAAGGGTGACCCTGCAAAAAAAGCAGATGAAGGGTACGCTCCCACACCAGTGCAGAGGAATTAGCAGAAAGGGAATGAGTCTGTAGCTAAAAATAAGGCTCACGTTACTTAGCATCAGTGTAAGCAATGGGCTGGGAAGGTGTGAGGGAATCAGGAACGGGATGGGCCTTTCACCGCTAAGTCACCGGCCAGGCTGGCAGTGACGAATTGTTTAGTGGCCTGTGTAGCAAGAAATATTCTTAAATTTAGATGTGTGCACATGTAGTACAGCCCCCAGCTGCAGAACCTTGGCTCCTGAGCTCAAACTGTGGCCGCTCGTGCTTCTGGCTCTGAAGGTCCGTGGTTTGGGTGCCTGTGTCAGCCAAGAGAGCAGCTGTCCGTCACACCCCTACCACAGAACTCACACGTCCCCTACTGGCATTTTCAGGACTGGATGGGCCGTGAGAATTCTCCACTCAGTTGTAGAGGGGCTCCCTCCACAACAGGGTTGTGTCCCGTTGTCCTACCGCCTCGGTCCCAGGGTTGGCTGCAAAAGGAACAGGCAACCCTTTCTCCTGCTGCACAAAGCTAGCTATGTGGGGGACTGAGAGGTACACTTGCATTTGTAGTCACATCTGTAGTATCCTCATATCGGGGAGCAAATCCCTAGACAGCGTAGCGGGGTCCAATGTGAGAGCCACCCTCCCTCCGATGTCCAGACAGCATCATGCTCTTAACCCTTCCTTCCAGCACTTCACAGCCCTCCCCAGCCCAGGCTCCCCACAGCCAGCTCCTGACTGGTGTAGACACCCCCATTTAGGGTGACCAGACGGCAAGTGTAAAAAATCGGGATGGGGTGGGGGGTAATAGGTGCCTATATAAGAAAAAGCCCCAAATATTGGGATTGTGCCTATAAAATTGGGACATGTCACCCTAGCCCCATTCCACCTCCTTTCCTGACCTTGGGTCTCTCCTGTCTTCTCCCATGAGTAAGAGGCAGGGGACCTTCATATACAGAGTTTCCTGCAGTACACATGACTAGGAGCCAGCATGCGACTTCCCACTACAGCTCCATTTGGAAAGGGGCCAAGGTGCTCTGGGACGTGTGCACATGCCTCCGTTCGATGCAGCGACAGAGCCCATCACCGGAAGGGCCAGAGCCCCATGACATGATGCAGAAAGGCACCTTTTCAAAATCTCTGCACACGACCTAGTTATTCCCCACTTCCGTTTGTAGTGGCAACAGAATGTATATTTAGCCACCACATTTGGTTAAACTTTAATCTCCTGCTCCCACTGTTTCTATTTTTAACTGGCATTCTGGTGCATTGTAGCATAGAATATCAGGGTTGGAAGGGACCTCAGGAGGTCATCTAGTCCAACCCCCTGCTCAAAGCAGGACCGATCCCCAATTAAATCATCCCAGTCAGGGCTTTGTCAAACCTGACCTTAAAAACTTCAAAGGAAGGAGATTCTACCACCTCCCTACATAACCCATTCCAGTGCTGCACCACCCTCCTAGTGAAAAAAAGTTTTTCCTAATATCCAACCTAAACATCCCACACTGCAACTTGAGACCATTACTCCTCGTTCTGTCATCAGCTACCACTGAGAACAGTCTAGAGCCATCCTCTTTGGAACCTCCTTTCAGGTAGGTGAAAGCAGCTATCAAATCCCGCCTCATTCTTCTCTTCCGTAGACTAAACATCCCCAGTTCCCTCAGCCTCTCCTCATAACTCATGTGTTCCAGCCCCCTCATCATTTTTGTTGCCCTCCGCTGGACTCTTTCCAATTTTTCCACATCCTTCTTGTAGTGTGGGGCCCAAAACTGGACACAGTACTCCAGATGAGGCCTCACCAATGTCGAATAGAGGGGAACGATCACATCCCTCCATCTGCTGGCAATGCCCCTACTTATACAGCCCAAAATGCCATTGGCCTTCTTGGCAACAAGGGCACACTGTTGACTCATATCCTGCTTCTCGTCCACTGTAACCCCTAGGTCCTTTCCTGCAGAACTGCTGCCGAGCCATTCGGTCCCTAGTCTGTAGCGGTGCATTGGATTCTTCCGTCCTAAGTGCAGGACTCTGCACTTGTCCTTGTGGAACCTCATCAGATTTCTTTTGGTCCAATCCTCCAATTTGTCTAGGGCCCTCTGTATCCTATCCCTACCGTCCAGCGTATCTACCTCTCCTCCCAGGTTCGTGTCATCTGCAAACTTGCTGAGGGTGCAATCCATGCCATCCTCCAGATCATTTATGAAGATATTGAACAAAACCAGCCCCAGGACCAACCCTTGGGGCACTCCACTTGATACCGGCTGCCAACTAGACATGGAGCCATTGATCACTACCCGTTGAGCCCGACAATCTAGCCAGCTTTCCATCCACCTTGTAGTCCATTCATCCAGCCCATATTTCTTTAACTTGCTGGCAAGAATACTGTGGGAGACAGCCTCAAAAGCTTTGCTAAAGTCAAGGAATAACACGTCCACTGCTTTCCCTTCATCCACAGAGCCAGTTATCTCGTCATAGAAGGCAATTAGATTAGTCAGGCATGACTTGCCCTTGGTGAATCTATGCTGACTGTTCCTCATCACTTTCCTCTCCTCTAAGTGCTTCAGAATTGATTCCTTGAGGACCTGCTCCATGATTTTTCCCGGGACTCAGGTAAGGCTGACTGGCCTTTAGTTCCCAGGATCCTCCTTCTTCCCTTTTTTAAAGATGGGCACTACATTAGCCTTTTTCCAGTCATCCGGGACTTCCCCCGATCGCCATGAGTTTTCAAAGATAATGGCCAATGTCTCTGCAATCACAGCCGCCAGCTCCTTTAGCCCCATGGACTTGTGCACGTCCAGCTTTTCTAAATAGTCCCGAACCACATCTCCATCTCCAGTTCAATCCCCTTTCTTGTAGCAGTTGCTGAAATTAATCAGTTTTCATGGTAAAAAAGTTAGACCTTCCAGACTGGCCTGAAGTGCATTGGCAAAATCATTGCAGGGAATCTTACATGGCTGTGCCCCCACACGGCCCGGCTTCCTTGTAGACATCAGGATTCACCAAGAAAAAAAGGAAATCATTCATTAAACCACCACTATGGTTTTTCAGAACAGCTGGCTTTAAAAGTGGCAGATTTTCACACTAACTGTTTTATTAGTTTTCAGTAAGTAATTATACTTGATATTGTTGCCTTGTCAACTTCCTGTCATTCCTTCCTGGGAAAGTTACAGTGATTGGTGCAAGGCTGACCGTGCAAAGCAAAAGGGAGGTGTGAAATTGATTGAAATGTTTTTTCCTGGGGGCAGGAGAGGGTTTGACAAACATGCATGACTTTAATTAAATCTGAGAGCTAATATTGTGATTGAGATTCTTGAAAAAATATGTATTTTTTTCCGATAAACACCCACGGCATTAAGATAATCAGGGATGACTTTGTATATTAATGACCAAGAGTCTAAATTGTAATAGAGGCGAATTCTCATCAAGTATTGCAGTAATGGATAGGGCTAGCTCTTTTAATACAGACTGGATTGTGGCATGATAATTAAGATGGGTCAGGATCAATAGATTCTTTAGGGCTCAGAGGAAACCCTGTAGATTAGCCACCCACTAAAGACAGATTTTTAAAAACTACAACTCATCTCCTGACAGTTAGTTCATCAGTGTGACAAAAGATGAAATGATCAGCTATTTCAGCTAGGGTAGATGTTTAAGAAGTATCTCCAGGGACAACAGAACAGTCTGTGAGGTCTTTGACAGCATGATTCGAATAACTATTTTAGCACTTAGAAGTGCTTGGCAAGGGTTAATTAACCCTTGGAAAAACAGGTTAGCCAGTGCAGGAGGTATATTAAATATGAACATTTTACAGATGGGGAAACTGAGGCAGTAACTTAGTCAAGGTACCAGAGGCAGTTGGGCGCACAGCTGGGATGACAGCTCAGGTTCCCAACCTTCTGCTTAAGCCTCAGCACTTCTTCTGTGACACTGAGGTGGTTTCCCCTCAACTGGCCTCAAGTTACCATCTACCTGAAGGTCTTTATTATAAAACCTCAAAAATATACAACTAGGTCACATGACTGTAATAGTGCTGAAATTTGAGGTTCATGTGAAAGGGCAACAGTTTCACTGGCTAAACAATTATCAGCCAAAAGAGGCAGTGGAATCTCTTCTCAAAAGCTTTGTTGTGCGTACAAGACACAAAAACAGAATATTTATTGAGGGGCAATTTGCATTCAAAATCTGCCCCCACAATTAACATTTCAAGCAGGGGTTGAAATTTTTACTGGCAATCTGGCTCACCAGTGTCTCTCCCAATGACTTCACATTGCAAACCCATTAACAGGAGATCAGCTGCTGAATTTACTTACATCAGAAGCAGGACCTTTATCAGCACCCGGGCAGGAGAAAGTAACAAATTCATGGCACCGCTTGTGTACAACGAAGCAGCAAACTGCAAAGAGAATGTAGTGAAAATGTCAATCAAAAGGTAAATGAAAGGCTTGTAACTAGTTACATCAGGACTAGAGGCTTTTCCACAGGAAACATGCTGAATTATTACATTTCATTTTCTATTTCTTTATAAGACACGTCTAATAAGCCTCCTATCAGAGCCGTTTTTCAAAAATGTTTTCTATCAGCAGTCAGAATTAACAGCATTATTCAGTTATTTCTCAGCAAAAAGACACCCACAACTCCTAAGGCAGGTCATTTTTCAACAAGACCATGGTGGAATTTAAGAACAGCCTGTTGCATGGTATCAACAGAGGTTGCATTTCACTGCAACTTCATTGACATGAAAAGCTGAATGAGCATCATAAACAACTAATGGAAAGCGTGGATCACATCTACTTCCACTTAACTTAGCATCACTTATGTTGGATGCTCTGAAGTTATCTCAGGAATAAATCATCCTGCCATGCTCGGACTCCCACCTCTCTCAAGGTGAATGTACACTACAGGAGAGAAAGAGCATCAGCAGATAGATAAGAGGGCTGTACAGCACAACAGACATTGAGCTTTAAAGGGGTGGGCAGATAAGTTTGTGGGAGGAAAACTCTCTCCTCCAGCACCAGAGGCTCAGTAATTTGCCATACTATGAAAGCAGTTGTCCCTTCCTCTTCTCTAAAGCTTTTCGAATTTACAGGAGGAACCCATCCACAGATTCAGGGCCTGTGTGTGGAGGTCTTCCCTCTAGAAATATCACGAATAAATAAGTCACAGTATGCTAAGGCCAAGGTTTTCAAACCTGGATGCCTAAAATTCCATCTACATGCCCTGATCCAGCAAAGCACTTAAAGAACATGCCTAACTTTAAACATGCAAGTCACACCACTGAAGCCTATGGGACTACTTGAGCTTAGAGTTACGTATGTGAGAACATGGTTTGCTGGATCAGGGCTGCCTATAGGCAGCGAAATCAAAGTGGCCTGGCCAGTTTGCTGAAAGCACTTTGACTTAGATGCCTAAATACTAATTTAACTGTAGGCACCCAGGGGTGAAAGCATAAGCCTCAGGGTTTCTGCACAGTTCCAGGCTTTATACTGGCTTACTGAAAATAACGGATATTTACTCCCATCTTACAAAACATTCACACCAGCTTCTCTTGAAGAAAAACAAAGACTACGGGTACTCTGAGTCACATACCTAAGGTGCAAACACTGGCAAACTGTGAAGGTAAAGAAACCAAGGCATTAAGCCCAGAGTTCAATGTGGTCTTGCAAACAAGATTGGGGGAGGTAGGGGGGAGCTGAAAATAGTAAGCTTGGAAGTATTTGGCTGTATTGTTAAAAGCCCACGTGTTTAAATGATTATACGCCATCTGTGCTCTTGTAAAGTGCAGAGGGGTGGGTGCTCAGCAATTCCCTGGAGCTTAGCGGTGCGCCTTGTATGACAGGGCCCTTCATTTACAAAGAAGGGAGCTTTTAAATTCAACCACTCTTCTCTCTGATCAACAAATGCACGTCCCTAACAGAACCACGTGAATAACTACCAGCAGACAATGCGAAGTTAGACCCCTCCTGCTTCCAGATTGCAATTTTCTCATGTTCATAAAGGCACATTTGTTTTAAACACTGGAGAGTGGTCATGAATATTTGAAATTTGAATGGCGTCGCTAAGTCCTGTTTGTCTAAAAAGTCACATCACCTTGTTTCTGTTCGGAGCAGAATGAGCATTCAAGCTTAAACACACCACCACGTGCGGATGTGATGGCCATCATCCTGGCTGACAATCCAGGGACTGAACCAAGGATTTGGACAGCTACAACCAGCAGCTGCTACAGATTGAGCTAAAGAGCCCAGGCTCTGCAGGTGGGGCGATAGACTCATGGCCACTGCAGACTGAGCGCAGAGGGCTGTGAATCTCGAACATCCACCAGTAGCTGGGAGCAGGGATCCAACCGAGGACAGTCAGCACCAAACCCACAGGTTTCTACTTCTTGAGCGAAAGGCAAAGTCACTAAGCTTGGAGTCAGTGGCAAGCGCTTCTAGGGCCTGGTTACAGAAAGCTGAAGGAGACAATCACATGCCTAAGGCAATATCTTACTAGGCACTTCCCATGCAGACTGGTGCATGCCCACAATTTAAACTATCGTGTCTGAATTTGCACCCTCTAGACTGGGATTATTTGACATTTCACAGAAGAACCAACCCACAACAGAGCACAGTGCTGAAGGATTTGAATGAGTAGTTGAAGAAAGTGTGTGTTAAATCCCTCAGCACTACCAGTCACCAGCAGTTCCTGGGTTAAACAAAGTAACCTTGGCAAGACAAGATGCCCAGTGAAATGCTGCTTGGCCAAATGCACCCGGTCTCCTGAGTCTTCTCTCCCTCCCATCCTCGCCCAGCTCTGCACTACCTACCAGGTGTTCAGTAGGCACAGTGAGCTCTCTACCTGGCGGCATAAGTAGAACTGAATGGCAGCTGTGAATTTGGCATGGTCTTTAGCTAGCGAAGAACTTGTCTGGGTTGCAAGGCAACTTTGACTATGACTCTTCTGGCCACATCACGTTAAAACTCCATACCCCGCCACATGAGCCTCTTCTCTCCTAAAGCACAACTCCTTCCCTTGAGCAGCTTTGAAATTAAATTCAAGAGCAAAAGAAAATACATGGTGCAAAAAGTTCAACAAAGAAGCGTGGAAGGTATGTAACAGAGAGATGGGAATCACTGATGTGTGCATATATGAAAATGAAGGCTTGATTACATGGGTACAGGACATCTTTTTTGAAGGAACAAAACACAGAGCAAGTGAAACCTGCAGCTAAACCTCACAGTCCCCTCATTGTAGCTAGATGTAGTGGGGCATGTGCTCTTCCAATTCCCAACGTTTCATTATGAAAAGTGAAGGTAGACAGGTTTTTATGAGAGGCACGATTACTGCCAGTAATTCCTTCCTCCCGAAGGAACTTGGATTGGCTCCTCCAAGCCCCACAAGTATCTGGCTTCTTGAACCACTGAGCCTCCTTCACAGGTTCTCCTCTGCTCTCGGTTACTCATCTGCGTACAAAGGCAGCACAATCTGGGAAGCAGGAAGGAAGAAATTAAGAATCTATTGGCAACGATCTCCCTGAACCTGGGTACAAATTAAAATATGCCTCCAAGACACACTCAAGTGCAGGTGCCCTCAGGATGTTGCAAGATGAAGGGTAAATTCCATTGTGGCTTCTTTAATTTTTGCTTGGACTGTAACAAGTGAGGTTGTTCCTGGACTGAGTGGCCCTTTGCTGTACAACTTTCCTCCCCACCCTCCAAATATGAAGGAAAAAGGAAAAAAACTCTGCTGTTGAATGCAAGCTTCACTGTGAAAATCGAGAAGGCAGGCCGCAGTGCTCTCTTCCCAATACTGTGCTCAGGGTCATCAAATCTAATTCATGCCTTGCCTGGCTCAAGGGAATCCACACTATAAATCTGAGTCAAGTAGTTTGGATTGAGCCTATATTCAAGATGTACAGGAATGGTATTAAATGTCACCTATTATAATAAGCGGATAGCAATAGACTGCTGACAACAAAAGCAGTGCTTGCCAACAATGGACAATAAAAGATGGAGCACCTTAAAAAGAGTGGATTAGAATGGAGACGATTAAAAGATAAAGCTGTAGGTTGTGCTTTAAATTATTAGTGGCCAGTTTGTTAAATGTCTTCGATTCTACTAAGGGGCTGGCTTCAGTTCACTTTCCTAACAAAAGTTTAGACTGTGTATTTCACTTCAGCTCTCCTCAACTGTTAATAATATGAAGCTGGATACTCAGGTGGGGACTGGATTACGCAGATTTGACAGTGTGTCATGGAACTTTTCAACTTTATGAAGCTGCCCCACCTCGATTCTGGCTGAGAGCTGCAATTCCCTAACAGCGGAGTGCTTTATACGGAATGGCTGAGTGGTCTAAAGTCTAGTTCCTAATAAAATAGTGACCACCCACCTACCTACCTACCACCCGTATGTGAGAAGCCATCGAGACTGAATTCTCCTTCAGAAGGTCAGAGCTTCTGGTTGGGTTGAAGCAGCCTGACAGTATGGTGTGGAGAAAATACCACAGACAGCCACCACAGCAGAGAATTTGGGCTATAGGTCAAGGAGTCCAGTCTCCATCAGGCAACTTCAGCCTGCATTAGAACTTCTTGATCTTTTCATACTGAACTCACCAACCCAAATAGGAGGTTCTCTTTGCTGCATGCTCCTCATTGCTGTAAATGCCCTGCCAGCCCCAAACTGTCCTCCCCACCAACCAACCCCATTCAGCTTCAAACCATCAACTTAACGCTTCTGGTCATTCTCATAGCACTCACCAGCACAAGCCAGGAGAGCCCCAGCAAGAGTGACAATGGACTGGGGCGGGCGCAGCTGCCCTGGCCTTCACTGCCTCTTTCCCCGTCATTTATCCTCCCAGCCTTAGGGTGGAGCAGTAAAGAAAAAATTAACAGGAGATGATCTAATTCCCTTCCCTGATTCCAACACGGGTCACACAATTTGGCCATAAATTTGACTTTTAAATGTTTCCCACTGTTATGTTTGGGGTTTGTTTTTTTTTGTTTTTGTTTTTTTTTGTTACTAAGCCAAGATGGATGAGTCTAGGCTGAAGTGATGAGATCCCTGGACAGGAGGAAAATGACAGACTTGGGAGAACTGATTTGCATGTGGAGAAAAGCAAAAGGGCAGCAGCGGAAGCTGCATTTACAGAGAGGCTTTAAAAATAGAGACACAAAGGAAAGCGGAATCCACAGGTGCACCCACTAGGCAGAGAACTCAGCCAGAGCAGGCCTCTCACATCTTTCCATGCCAATACAACTCCTCTGGAGGAAGATCTCGTTGGAATTCCAAGCAATGGCTCATCCCAAAGTTAGGTCTGAGCTCTCCCTGCTGCTCCACAGGAAGAAGTGAAAACACCCCTCTTTTTTCCAGAGGAGGAAAGACAGAAGTAAACTGAGGCAGCCATGTTGATCCCACTGTA